AGAGCCACAAGCAGAGAATTGATAGTGATGATCCAACATTGATATTCAGCCCAAACTGGGAGAACTTGCATCGGTGAGAAGCATTCCTTTTTCCCTCATCCTCTCTGAGTTTTGGTGGAGTCAAGTAGATACTCTAAAGATACAAGTTAATGTTAGAAATTTAAATTTCTATAATAGTTAATAAGCAATTTGTTCATCTCTCAAAACAAAATGTTAGAGATAGGGTTATTATATTGGCAATTGAGATGTTTAAGTTTTTTTTTTTTTCTTTTTCAATGATTAGAGTGTTTTCAAATCAATTTACGCGTAGCTCGAGATTAATTCTTCTTCAGACGATCTTAAGGGCGCACTTCCCATTCAAGACTCCAAGAGCTAACCATAAGTCTAACTTACAAGATGATATTCCATGCTTACATGCAAATCCGACATTAAAGGTTAGCTTTTCTTTTCTCATTCTGTTTGTTTTTTTTCATAATTTCATACCTTCTTTTTTCTCCTATTGACAAATTGTACTACTTTTCATGTACACCCTCCTTTACTTTGCACTAGATATTATTCTTTCTATTTCAGTTATACTCGAAGGAAAAAAAAACACTATTCTTTCTATCTTTGCTTTCTAAAGTCTCTCTCTCTCTCTCTCTCTCTCTCTCTCCACTGAATCCAAAATTCTAAAGTCTCTTTTGGCACAAACCATTCCAGAGATTCAATTAGTAAATACCGTAAGAGATATTCCCTTTTGTTTTTGAGCAACAATATTATTAATTTGAGTATAAGGGATACTCAAACCCTTATACAAAAGAAATATTAGAAATTGATTGGTCAATTTTATGTTACCATGAGATATTCCCTTAATTACAGTAACATGAAGTAAAAGTACAGTACTTTAAAATTGACAAGTGCATGAACTATTGGTTTTTGTATGAGTTCTTTTTGTACCTCAATCACTTTCTAGTCTGGCTTGATTTGAATATATCGGTCTATCTTTCTCTCTTCTTTCTGATTAGATTTTCTGTTTTTCTGGTGTACTGACGGCTTAATTTCTTCAATCTAACTTTTAGGTTAGTCGCTGATATTCCAGCAACCACAGGAGCAGGCTTCGGTGAGTTTTTTTTTTACTAGCTCCTTCACTTACCATATGGTTTTCTATATTATTGAGTTTAAGTCTCAACTTAACTCTACATTAATTTTAAATGATGATTTTATATAGTATGTAAATGATAATTGAAATTTTTTTTTTATCAAATGAACTACGCAATCAAAACTAATGGTGCCCAACAAAACAGAAATGCTTGCTTTTTTCTTTGATAGGTGATCAATATTGGTTTTATTAAGGAGGTACAAGAAGTATATATGTGTGTCTTATAATTGTTGTTCCCCTTATGTTGTCTCTCAAAATATTAAGCTCTGTTGTGCAGGATAAGAAGTTGTATGCTGTACCTCAAGAGTAGCACCCAAGATCTCTATTGGTAAACAATTGTGTTGTTTTTAAGTTAGCTTTGGAGTTTGAGAGTTTGAGTAATTAGCTTTCAAAGAAATTTATAATTTTCTTGGATGCACCATATCAATGTAGGGACATGCCCTTAAGATCGCCCGGAGATAGATAAGTCTCAAGGTATGCGAAAGTTGCTTTGATGACACCTGCCCATTAAAGGTAAAAAGGAAAAAAAGAAAACAGAAGTTGTTTGTGTGATATTAAAGTTTCCAACCATCCAGTGGCGGAGCTACCTTATGGCAAGGGTGGGCGGACAAATGCTCCCTAGCTAGCTTTTTGTGAAAAAACTAGTTTAGTCATTCAAGCTTTATTTTTATGATTTTTATCCTTAAAATATTGAAAAAAACAATGATTAATACATATTTCGGTTCAACATATTGCACAACACATTCATTAAAAAATACTCTTTCTTGGTTTAAAATTAAAAGCAGATAAATTTAAAAATACAATCATATATATAGAATGTAGAAACCGACTGAATTAACTATATTTATATTATACTTTTTAATGGTTGAATTAAAAGTGCATCAAAAAATATGTTAGACAAGTGTGTACAGATAATTTTCCTAAAATATTTCATATAATCATTTAGTTTGTTTTTTAGTTTTTTAATCCATTAGAAACTCCAAAACATTAATTGATATACATTTAGATTCAAAAAATATACTAACAAATCTAAAAATAAATTAGAAATTTAAACTTGAGAAGATATTATAAGAAATAAATTTTAAAAACACTTATTTATAAGTTTATTTAACATGTGTTCTAAAGGCACAATTAAAAGTATATTAATTACACTCTTTTTGTTAACTTGCATAGAAAATACCAATGTGTTCCTAAAGATGTAGAAGAGGTTGCTTTCCATTGTGCAATCCAAACTCAATATATGTATTAGATAGGGATGGTGAAGGTGATGGGTAATTGGGAAGGCGTGTATGGATTTGGAATTTGGGATGGAGATGGGCAAAGATGGGTAGGGAGGTGACTGATGGGGAAATTGGTCTGAGTGAATTGCTGGAGAATGTGAGTTTAAGGGAGGGAAGAAAGAATACGGTGGCGGTAGATTCATGATGGTGGGGTTTGTATTAAGTGAAAAAAGTGTATAACATGTTATTATTAGGAGTGCCTGTTCTTGATGTGAGGTTATGTAGGGTGATTTGGTGCAAACTCAGTTTCATCGAAAGTAAGCATTTTCAGGTGGAGATTGTTTCTTAATAGGTTGGCCACTAAAGTTGATTTGTTGAAGAGAGGAACAAATGTGCTAGATGGGGATGTACGGTGTGTTTTTTTTCCAAGGATGAGGCAGAAAAGGGTGAGCATGTCTTTTGTGTATATGGTGAGGTTTAGTTGGCTCCGATGAAAGTTCTGATGAGACGGTGTGAGGACAAGTGTAGTGGGCTTGAACAGTGGGAAGGAGATGGTGTCTTTAATTTCTAGAGGTGTTCTAGTGCATATATGGGGTTAGTGCCCTCTTCTTCCTTCTTTTTTTTTTTTTGAACTAAAGCTAAATTCATAGGGTTAGTACCGTTGTTGTACCTGTTTTATAATATTTTAATTTGCTGATTTAAAAAAAATATATTCACAATGACAGGGTTCCATACATTTTTCTTCTTTTTCGTAAATGTGAATGCATTATGTTAAGATGTGAACACAATAATTTAGATTATATTTACATTTATTGTAAATATTTTATAATTTATTGTAAATATTTTATACTTTAAAATATTCTCTTTATATACTTTATACCTCAAAATATTCTCTTTGTAAACGGCTATATATAAGTCATTGTACATACAATATCATTTAAAAAAGTAATAAGTTTTTCTTCAAATATTTCTCCTTCTTTTTCAATTTTCTAACATGGTATCAGAGCTATAAGCTCCTAGTTTTTCTTTTATCACTGCTTGGTTATTAAGTTGGATTTTCAAATCTATTCCAAATTTGAAACTTTGTCGTCGAGTTCTCTTCTCTAGATTGGATTGTTTATTCTTAATTCTCACGCCTTTTTTGAGGTATCTTATTGAGTTGTAATTTTGATCTTGGCATCTATTTCTTCATACTTTTAGAGACTTTTTCAGTATTGTGAGCTCTACTGATTTTATGGCGAGTTTTGAAAGAATTGTAACTCATCTTACTGCTGCAATGGTTGCTAAAGAGATGATAGACCAACCTATTGCTAACCCTGAATATCTAAAATAGGTGATATTAAATCTTCTTAATACTCTTACTGCCTTATCTACTGCACTAGGTACTAAACCTTGGTATTTTGATTCTGGTTGTTGCAATCACATGTCTTCAACTACTACTTATTTTCAACAAATCTTCCAAGCTTGTGTTGTTACTAATATTTCTCCTTTTCATTTGTGGCACTCACGGCTCGGACACGGCTCAGACAGTAAACTCCGTCCTCTTATTTCTCGTGGTTTATTAGGATCTGTTCCAAATGAATCTTTGCATTGTGTGTCATGTCAATCTGCAAAACAACTAGCTTTATCATTTATTAGTAGTCATTCTCTTTCTGCTACTTCTTTTGATCTCATGCATTCTAATATTTGGGATCCATCTCCGACACCTACCATGGGGGGTTCTAGGTATTTTGTGTTATTTATTGATGGTCATACTCATTTTACCTAAATATATCTTATAAAAAATCGCTATAAGTTGTCACAAATTTATATTGATTTTGCTACTATGGTCAAAACCTAGTTCTCTAAAATTATCAAAGTTTTGAGAACTGACAATGCCACGAAATATCTTAGTACTAAACTTCAATCCTTTTTTAAAAAACAGGGCACACTGGCACAACAATCTTATCCTTACACTTCTAAACAAAATGGGCGAGCCAAACGTAAACACAGACACATCCTTGATTCTGTTCGTGCTTTGCTCATTTCATCTTCTTGTCTAGAGCGATTTTGGGGTAAAGCTACTCTTACAATTGTTTATCTCGTTAATTGGATTCCATCATCGATCATCAATAATAAGTCTCCATATGAATGTTTGCATGGTATTCCTCTTGCCTATGATCTTCTTAAGGTTTTTGGTTGTGCTTGTTTTGTTCTTCTTCCACCTCATGAACATAATAAGTTAGAGCCTAAAGCTCGATTATGTTGTTTTTTGGGTTATGGGATTACACATAAAGGATATCGTTATTGGGATCCTGTGTCACAAAAACTTCGAGTCTCACGTCATGTTGCCTTTTGGGAACACACTTTGTTTTCCTCATTATCAAACTTCGAGGTGTCATCTTTTGATCAACCTCCACTTTTTACTAACCCTTCTATTGAGCTATTTCCTAGTGACTCTAATGCAGATACATTTGATGAGCTCCATGATGCCTCTCCACATGCTCCACCTAGTTCTATCGAAGATGTTCTGCCTGCTAGTAATATTTTAGACAATACTAAGTCTTCTTCCCTTACCTCTTTTGTATCACCTATTAGATATAACCCTATTGATCTTGAGCCTGAAAATGAGATCCTTAATCCACCTTCAAGTCATCCTACTCGGGTAAAAAATCCTCTTAGCTATCTTCGTGATTATCATTGCTTTCCTGTTATTACCTCTTTACATGAGCCTCAATCTTGCTAAGAGGCCTCTTTTAACCCTCTTTGGTAGCAAGCTATGCAAGATGAATTACAAGCTCTTGACAAAACTTGTACATGGGATTTGGTTGATCTTCCTGCTGGAAAGCCTCTAGTAGGTTGTAAATGGGTGTACAAGATCAAAACCCAGTCTGATGGCTCTGTGGAGCGTTACAAGGCTCGTTTGGTTGTTAAAGGATTTACTCAGGAATATGGGATTGATTATGAGGAAACCTTTGCACCTGTTTCTTGTCCTACTTCAATTCATAGTTTGATTACTTTTGCTGCTGCAAAAAGATGGAAATTGTTTCATATGGATGTGAAAAATGACTTTCTAAATGGTGATCTTGTAAAGTTTACATGAAACCACCTCCTAGACTTGAGCATCCTCCAAACAAAGTTTGCCGATTAAAGCGAGCTCTGTATGGTTTGAAACAAGCACCTCGAGCCTAGTTTGCGAACCACCATTAGTGAATTTGGTTTTACTTCTAGTCCTTACGATACTGCACTGTTCATACGTAAGACTGATCTTGTTATGGTTCTACTATTTCTTTATGTTGATGATATGATCATTAAAGGGGATGATATTTCAGGTATTCATGATCTTAAGCAATTTCTCAGTCACAAGTTTGAGATGAAAAATCTTGGTGTTTTGACCTATTTCTTGGGCTTTGAGGTCACCTCTTCTGATGATGGTTATCTTCTTTCTCAAACAAAATATGCCTCTAATCTTATATCTAAAGCTGGAGTCACTGATAGTGAGACTGGATCTACTCCTCTTGAGCCCAATGTTTGACTTACATCCATGGATGGTTTTCCATTAGCTGATCCTACTCGTTATAGACAGTTGGTTGGAAGTTTGCTTTATCTCACTACAACACAACTAGACATAGCTTATGCAATTCATGTTGTTAGTCAGTTTATGGTTACGCCTCGCTCCACTCACTATGCAACAGAACTTCACATTATTCGATATATTAAAGGTATCATGTTTCATGGACTTCACTTTTCTACTCATTCATCTCTTGAACTTCGTGCCTACTCTGATGCTGATTGAGTTGGAGAATCTAATGATCGTAAATCCACCACTGCATTTTGTCTTTTCCTTGGTGATTCCTTAATCTCTTAGCGTAACAAGAGGTAGATAGTTCCATCACATTCTAGCACAGAGGCTGAATATCGAGCACTTGGAGATATCACATTAGAGTTACTTAATTGTTTTTTTTGATAAGCCAAATAAAAACTTTTTATTTAAAGAAGCACAAGGGGTGCTTCAACCCATCTACAATAATATGGCACCCACGTCTTGATGGTACCCACATCTGATTGGAGCCAGGCTCCTTACAACTAGAATATGACAAAACTTATAGACTTGATTAAAAACAAAACCTTCTGCACTGCCAAACCCTCAACAAGGGGACCTGAATGTCTTATAGAATTGCTTCCTCATCCTTTTATGATTTTTGACAGCCATAGCGCACTCCTTTGGACAAGATTGCCATTCATGAAAGGAGAAAACGCAGCCATTCACTTTAGATTTAATCCATAAAAAGGTTTTAACTTGCACCCTTTCCAGCAGGTTTTCTATTAATCCTTCATCTTTTCGAAATACTTGAGCATTGCATCTATACCATAAATACCAGGCAACCACTAGAAAAATACAGGATCCCATCTCCTTACCATCTATTCTTCCTAAACCACATAAGAAAAAATCTGTCATTCCCACCACTGTATTAGGCAAGACACTCTCCACACCCCACCAACTCAACACTTGTGCCCAAACTAACCATGCCTTATAACAAACGCAAAATAAATTATTAACTTCCTCCACTGTCCCATTGCAATGATCGCAAAAAACCCCTTCTTGTAACTGTATCCCACGTTTTTGAAGGTTTTCCTTTGTTGGGAGCCTATTTAAACGTAATCGCCACCCAAAAAAAACCACTTTTGATGGCACCCAACTGCACCATACTAATTTGCACATCTGGTCCTCTAAAACACACTCCGTAGATGCTAGGTCATAAGCTATTTTTACAACATATTTGCCTTCCATCTCATGAATCCACTTCCAAACATCCCCCACCCCCTCCTTTAGATGTACACCCTCCAGCATCTTCTCTAGCAGCTCCTCCTCATTTTTCTCATGCCCTATTGTTCCCCTCCTCCACTCAACCCGCCAAACCCATTTACCCTCTTCCCAAAAACCCATTTCGGAAACCTTTCCTTCCTTCTTCACTGATAACTCAAATAACCTTGGAAATAAATCCCTAAGATTTTTATCTCCAACCCACCACTCATGCCAAAAGGCCACTTTATTACCCTCACCCAACTCCCACTTGAAACCCTCAGCCAGCATATTCTTATGTTTCAAAGACTGACCCCCTATCCTAATAATATCCCTCCAAAGCTTTGATGTCCTTGCACACTCAATTGTAATGATATCGACCTCCCTCTTACCTCCATAGTATTTCTCCCTCACCACCCTTTTCCACAAGCTGTCAACCCCATCACCCATCTTATACCACCACTTCCCTAACATTGCCCAATTTTTTCTACGCAAATCTGGCACCCCTAGACCCCCCTTCACCTTAGCACTACATACATAGTCCCATTTAACCCATGAAATCTTCTTATTTAACCCTGTCCCTCCCCATAAAAAACACCTTTGAATTCTAATCATCTCCGCAAGCACAACCTTAGGCAATAAAAATGATGACATATAAAAAATAGGTAGTGCAGAAAGTACCGAATTTAGCAAGATGAGGCAGCCTCCGAAAGAAAGAGTGGCAGCCTTTCAGACAGCAAGCTTGGCACGGAATTTATTTACAACCAGCTCCCATAACTTCTTGTTCCCGGATTTACCATCAACGGGCAATCCCAAATAAAGGAAAGGTGCTCAACCAACCCCACAGCGTAACATTCCCGCTGATCCTTTTAGCCATTTCTCCGACACATTATTCCCAAAGACACTGCTCTTTCTAAAATTTATCCTCAAGCCCGACATAAACTCAAACCATTTTAAGACGTCCTTCACCATACGTATGTTCTCAGCATCCGCTCTACCCATAATAATTGTATCGTCCGCGAACTGGAGTAAAGACACGGTCATCCCTTGCTTTCTAATCTCAATCCCATGTAACATTCCCTCCGTTACTGCTCTCTATACTAAACCTTGTAACCCCTCTGCAATCAACAAAAAGAGAAAAGGAGATAAAGGATCACTTTGTCGCAATCCTTTACCTACCTCAAATTCCCTTGTTGGGCTCCCATTTACTAGAACCGAAATTCTCGCGGTTGAAAGACATTCCATAATCCAACCTCTCCATTTCGTTCCAAAGCCACATCTCTCCATCATCCAATCCAAGAAGGACCAATCTACGCAATCGTATGCCTTTTCAAAATCTGCCTTAAACACAAAAGCTGGCTTTTTCCTCTTCTTAACCTCATCCACTACTTCATTCAACACCAAAACACTATCCACCAATTGACGGCCCCCCACAAAAGCAGATTGGGTGTCACTCACTATTTCTGATATCACAGTTTTCAATCTATTAGCCAGCACCTTCGCTAATAATTTATAGACACAACCAATCAAGCTAATGGGTCTAAAATCTTTTAGTTCAACAGCATTTAATTTCTTAGGAATTAAAGCTATAAAAGAAGAGTTTAGTCCCCTCACCAATTTACCATTTCGATGGAATTCAGAGAAAAAATTGATGAAGTCCTCCTTTATGCAGTGCCACGCAAATTTGAGAAAGTTGAAGTTGTACCCATCCGGCCCCGGTGCCTTTGAACCATCACAGCTCCTTAAGCCTTCCTCAATTTCTTCAACCGAAAATGGTCTTTCAAGCCATTCTTTTTTCTCCTCCGAGATCTGCTGAAATTTAAGATCCCCAGGCTTGGGTCTATTCCATGAGTCTCCTTGAAACAACTTTCTAAAATATTTGGCAATCTCATTTTTAATTGCATCTGGTTCTTCACACCACACCCCCTCACGCATTAAGCTTGCTATATTATTGTGCGCCCTTCTCCCGATAGCAACTCTATGGAAGAAGCGGGTATTCGCATCACCTTCACGCACCCATTTATTCCTTGACTTTTGCTTCCAGATAAGTTCCCTCTTTCTTATACAGTCCCACATCTCAAAGAAGCCTTCTTGCCTTTTAACTATCTCAACTTCTTCTAAATCTGATACCTCATTCTGCATGTCAACCTGCTCTACCTTTTTCACGGCCTGCCCATACAAAGCTTCCATGTTCCCAAATACTTCCTTGTTCCATCCCTTTAAAAACTCCTTTAACAACTTTAACTTTTGCTGGCATTTATACCCTACAAACCCCTTCACCTCCATCTCGCTCCATTTTTCTTCAACAACCTTTTTGAATTCTGGGTGTTGTTGCCATGCATCCAGAACCCGAAAAGGCCTTGGACCCCAATCTGTTGTTCTGGACTTCAACACAACAGCACAGTGATCGGAGATATTCCTTGGCAATGCTTGTTGTATCCACTCTCCTTCCATGTTCCTCATCTCAGTACTTAACAGGAACCTGTCCAATCTGCTTCTTGCTATACCATCTGGTTTATACCAAGTATACCTTCTATTTGTCAATTTAACATCCACCAAATCTGTTGCCACAATGAACTCATCAAAGTCCTTCATGCCCGAACTCTCCCTTAATTTTCCTCGTCTCTCCTCAGGGCCTCTAACAGCCTTAAAGTTCCCTGCTATAAACCAATGTCCTTCCTTGTCTGTTTTCATCTTCCTTAGTTCCTCCCACAACTTAGCCCTCTTTTGTTTGTCATTTGGGCCATACACATTTATAAGAAAACACTGTTGTTTACTTACTCCCCATTCCCTTGATAATCCCACAAAACCGTCACCAATTAGCTCTTCCCTCTTAACAAAATGCCTCCTATCCCATATACACAGCAAACCCCCTGAAGCTCCAGAAGAGTCCTTTGCAACCCAGTCAAACTCATCAGAATTCCACAACTGGCTACAAGTACCTACATCCATCCTTTCTAATTTTGTTTCCTGTAAGAACAAAAGATCGGGCCTCTCTTCTTTAACCAGCTTTTTCACCTCCTTCCTTTTCAATGTCCCACCCAAACCCCTTACATTAAAAGATATAATCTTCATAATCACTTCTAATCACACATCGCCTCTAATCACCTCCAGCCTTACCTCCCCGACTCGTCCCTTCGTCCTTCTACTTCCCGATCCTCTGCCTCCAATAATTTAGATTGTATCTCCTCCTCATTATTATCAAATTGAAAACCCAACCTCTTCCCCACCCTCATCATCCAACGCACCTCAAGTAGATCCATCTCTCTCTACAACACCCTATTTCTATTTTCAATGCACTTATCCGACATAGACACAGTACTAGCGATGCATACCTTGTCATCCCCAGTTTGTCTAGCGCCCACTCTCCTTGACTGCCTCTACTTTATTCTGGGTGTCACCCACGATGTCCCTTTCGCCCAGATCTCCTCCATGATTTCTGGGTAGCATTCTTGAAGAGGCCTCTGTTTTTTACCCTCTGTTTTTTTCCTCGATTTCTGCAATGCCGGTGTATCCACTGTTCCTTTCTTATTTAAACCCATGCTCATTTCCTTTGGCTGCCCCTGGTCCATCCTTTCAGCAGGCCCACCGTTATTTTCTGGCCCAACAAACCTCAGCCTTTGAGGCCCATTATTATGAGTAAGCCCGTACCCTTCATTCCCGTCCAAAACCATCCCTGTTTCAATTTGTCCACAGCTTTCATTTTTCGCTAACGGCTTCAAATTTGAATTTAAATCCAAATCCTTCATTAAATGCTCTTAATCAGTACTCATATCCTCGCCGCCGCAAATCCCGTCCGTATCTAACTCAGGATCCTCATTCTGACTCCACGCTACTAAGCATTCAGACTCCCTTTCCAGGTCACTTTTCCGGTCATTCTCCGACAACCACCAATCCGGATCAGAGCGCCACTCCTCTTCAACTATCTCTATCTCATACACCTGCTCTCCCACTCTCAGCTTAGTTCGTTTTGATATCTTGCTAGAATCTGAGCATAAAATCAAAACTCTCCCATCCCATAAGATTGATTTCTTCTTTGTATCATCATGAATCATTAATACTTCTCCTATTGTCTCACCTATCATTCGGAAGCACCTCTCACTCCATGCCTTTAGAGGCACTCCCGCTATTCGCAACCACACCATTCTACTTTTCTCCTCTGTTGCCTTCTCCCACGGTTTTAACGACTCAAACCACAATCCAAACAACTCCTCATTTAGCTTCATATACTCAGCTAGGTACCCTTTGACTCTTTCAGTTAATAACATACGTTTTCCCCTGATTGGTGCTAATGAGATTGAGCCTCCATCAACATCCAATTGCTCTTGAATCTCTGATACCGAAGCCATTAATCTCACCTCTGCCACCATGCCACCCTCAAGCCATTGCAGCTCCTCGCCTGTTGGGATGAATTCGATAGTCTCCTCTCATTTTTCCACTACCTTATTCTCCTAGGCCCTTGTTGAAACATCTTCCTTATCCGGAGTTGCTTCTTCATCCCTTTCTTACAGATTAACTGGTGCCTTTTCTATCCTCTTTCCCTGTCCCTTCACTGCTTGTGCATATGAGTGCCCTGGTTGGATCAGCCTATTCATGTTATTCGTTGATCCATTATCCTTTACTTCACCTTGTAGCTTCTTGGACATTGATGATTTCCTTTGCCAATCATTTGCGATCTTCACTCTGATCTTGTACGAGCCAATCCAGATCCCGTTTAGCTTCCTTTCCATCTGCATCTCATTATTGACCCCTATCAGCCTCACAAACCCAAACCTCTTCCCTCGCTTGTCACGTTTTCTCGGAAGATACACATCAACAACCTTACCATACATCTAAAAACAGTTCCATAAAAATTTTGCCTCCAATTCCTCTAGGAAATTATAAAAGAAGAAAGTCATTGACCAGCCGGAAAACTGTTTATTGTAACCTACCTCGCTGTTTCTGTGCCCTTGTCGTTGTCTGTAGCCTTGCCGCTGTCTGTGGCCACCATCTTTCCTAGTTGCCGCTCCCCTTGCTGTAACCCCCGTACTCTCCATAGTTATCAGAGTTACTTAATTTACGTTGGCTACTAGAAGATATGGATGTTTCTTAACCGCCTGCTACTAATCTTTATTGTGACAATCAGAGTGCCATGCAGATTGCTCATAACGATGTCTTCCATGAACGCACTAAACACATTGAGGTTGACCGTCACTTTGTTTGCCATCATGTTGCACAAGGAACTGACCTTTTCACTAAGGCTCATTTTCCTAGACGCTTTTGTACTTTTCTTTCCAAACTCAAGTTGGTTTCATCACAACCACTTTGAATTTGAGGGAGGATGTTAAGATGTGAACACAATAATTTAGATTATATTCACATTTATTGTAAATATTTTATATCTTAAAATATTCTCTTTATATACTTTACACTTCAGAATATTCTCTTTGTAAACACAAGTCATTGTATATACAGTATCATTTAAGAAAATAATAAACTTTTCTTCAAATATTTCTTCTTCTTTTTCAATTTTCTAACACATTACATAAACATAAATAAAAGTACAGAAGAACTACCCGCTAGGGAACTCAGTGCCGTTGAGGTCTGCATAATAGTCCATCAAATGATCATTAGGGCAACAGTTAAAGACAGAAAGATCATGAATGAGTCCATGTCCAGAAGCAGCAAGACGGTAATTAACTAGAGCCATTAGCTTGTCTGATTACGTGACGAAGCAGAACTTGAGGGATTTTCAAAAGGATTTCCCTACAGTCCAAAATCAAAGCAGACAGTGGGTGATTGCTGCAAGAATTGTTAGACAAAAGGTGGAAAGCTACAAGAGAAGCCATTTCCACAACGAGATTATGAAACAGATGTTGGAAAGCAAGGTGGATGCCATCACGTATCCCCCACAATTCCTCCGCAAGGCTCGAAGTAATGCCCACCCGTCAAGCAAAACCAAGAACCCAGGATCCCGAATGGCCTCTAAAGACGCCACCTGCAGCAGCAGGGCCGGGATTCGAGGGGGTAGAACCAACAGGTTCTATACTTTACCAGTTCCACTATCTCTTCTTGATTAAATTCATCCGACCTAAATATCTTTTGATTCCGTCCTTCCCAAATGGTCCATATCACTGCAAACCAGATGGTACCTCATTGTTCCCTCCACCTTTCTTTTGGGTGCCAGGCCCACGTGTTGTCAGAAGTTTTGTTCCCATCAAAAGGACTTGCCATCGAAATTCCGCACCATTGAAGACATTTTGTCCATGTTTCCCATGCTATTTTACAGGAAAACCACAAATGATCTGTATTTTCCTCTTGTTGACCACACAACACGTGCGCACAAGCCATCCTCTAGCATGCCCAGAATGCCTCTTTTCCTTAGGTTTTCCTTTGTCTGAATTCTATTTTGCAACACCCTCCGATCAAAAGCTACCAACTTGGTAGGCACCATTTTCTTCCACATCATATTTCAGAAGTTCTCTTTGTCCTCCAGGTATACTTGATGATTCCTTGCCTGATTTAGTACTACACAATATGCTAACCGTACAGAACATTGAACATTTGTTTCTCCTTTCCACAGCTATCGATCCTCCATGCCTGTCTTTGGTTTTGTTCCTTCAATTTCTGCCACCAGGCCCCGCAAAACAGAGTTCTCCCAAACAAATAAGACCCTTCTCCAATTCCGTTTCCATATACGTTCACCTACCATATATCCAAACTCTAATTTCAGCCACTACTGTAGCTTCCCTTTTTTTTTTTTTTTTTTTTTTGGAACAGCAATAATGTGTATTATTAAGGAGTACAACACTGTACAAGGGTACTCAACCCATTAACAGAAACATTACAGTAGTGTATTCAGTGTTACAGCAAGCAATCCCAATTAAATTTGCAATATATGAATTGAACCTTTTTGTTGGGTCTTTTAAGCACATGTTTAGCTCATTAGAATTATTGCTTGCCTCCAGATTGTTCTTAGAGCCCTCTAGTTACCGTCTAGCCCCACCAGACTTCATGCATAATGCGGGTTCCAACAACCAATCCAAGAAAGATGTACACACACATTCACCAGTACTGCAGAGCCGTTGGTAGGATTGCGCCTGAACTAAATTGAACAAATTTCCATCGTCGGTAATGGTGTTTTTGAATAATGCATTGTTTCGAGCTATCCACAAAGTCCAAGTAACTGTGAACCATATAGTCTCCCACCCGCGCCTTTGATCTGCAAACCTAAATAAAGTGCCATGCTGCTTGAAAACACTCCAACATCCTCCTGCCATAACTCCGCAGATGCCCCACCACTTCAGACATTTTGACTAGTGCGAGGGTGCAATTTTGCAGTGCAAAAATAAGTGGTTTGTGTCCTCAAACTCCTCACAACCAAAAGCGCAAAGCAAATAGTTTGGATCATTAAGTATCCCTCTGCAGACTGGAATCAACTTTTTTGGTATACGATCCTGAATTAGTCTCCAAGTGAATGCACAAACGCTACTTGGAATACTTTTTAAGCCATACTTGATCATAAATTTCTTGGAGTGGCAATGGGATCCAAGTTCTAGAGCATGTGATAACTCGATCGTACTTCATACCCCCCATGTGCACTGTAGAGCCATCTCCATTCATCCTTCTTTCCCCAGTGTAAGGATACTTGGTGGAGCACAGATAGTAAATTTTCCACCTGTGATGCTTCTCTGGCCAGTAGGTTTCTCCTCCATGGTAAAGACCATGTAGCTTCATTATTAACTGTCACATTATATAATCTGGGAAACTTTTCACTCCATTTACTCTCCCCCACCCATATATCTTTAGGTGAAGGTAGGCAGACTTTGTTTTGGAAACATAAATCCATTGTACCGACTAAATCAAGATAAAAACAGAGTTGAGGTTCGCCTATTGGTTTGCGTTTTTATTTTTCTTTCTTTTTTTATATCAGCCAAAAAAACAGAGTATATGTCTTTATTACACTAGAGAAGATCCAAATCTTTCTCATTGAATTCATGCACTTATTTAAATTTATGAATCACAACGAAAACTGATATGATTCCAACTTAGTCAAGATAAAAATATCAAGATTTTATCTTTGATAATTTTACCTTTATTTTTAGAACTGATCAATATTATTCCTTTTAGATAGATATTTTGAATTGAGAACAAAATTCACAAGAAAAGGGTCAAGTAAAACAAGAGAGGTGTCTTCCATGATGATGATGTTACTTCGTTTTATCACATATACCAGATCAAAAGAACTACATGATGCTCCCACATATTGTAGTTTCAAAATCAAACAACAAAAAAATACCCATGGTTGTACACTTTGTACGTATGCGAACGAGTTTTCTCTGCACTTTATTCTAAGTTGTGTTACTTGTGTACTGTGCTTAATTGTTTTGATCTATATAATTATGCACGCACTATACTTGTCCTCTACATAAAAATATAACAAAAGGAAAAAAAAAAAAGAAAAAGAAAAAAAGAGAGAGAATCCGCACACACACCTCATGAATTGAACAAATGTTTGAATCCCCCTCTAACATATATTAAGATAAATTCTTTTCACTGGCTTAAGAATAGGAGTGAAAGCTTCCATTTTTATCCTTCGGACTGGTTATTTAACCCCAAATTTTGCTGCAAGAGATAAGAGCATTTTGTTTTTACAATCCCCTGACAATGTACAATTAATGTATGGGTTGAGTACCCTTTAAACTCAATATTAATAAATTTTTTTACCTTTTGCCTTTCAAATCGAAAAAAAGAAAAAACATTTATTAAGATAAAAAGACAGGTACTGGGACATTTATGTAAAGCAAAAGGAATTTACTTTTCAAGATTGATAGAAGACATAATAAAGGGATTCGTTTTGATGGGATCCTGTCATGGATTGAATCCTGCCCCATGTTAGGGCAATTTTTCCGCGCAAGATTCTATGCCAATATTTCCCCGTGGAGTGACCTACAAATTACGGATACATACAAATATACTGTTGGGCTTTTGTCTTGAATTTCATGAAGAAGAGAAGTTTGGAATGAAGGTCCCAACACCGGTTCGATGAAAGAGTAAAGAAAGCAGATACTGGCGCGAGTATCGACACGCATAAAGAGGTTTCATTTGGCAGTGTTGTTCTATGTTGAAGCAGTAGTTTTTTTAACTTTTATTATTTTAAAAATATATAGAATATTAATTAAATTAATAAAAAAATATAAAAAAAAAAACTAAAATTAATAATATTGCATTTTAGATAAAGTGCTGTGTCTGCAAAAAGATACACTACATGAAAACAAGTTATGATTGACAGAAAAATTGTCCATTACAATGGGTCAAGAATTAAAATGGATGCAATGAAAGAAAAAGAATGTGAGAAAGCCTAGTTTGAATTTAAAAAGAAATTTTCAATGAATCGAATAGTCGAACCGTAAAGTATAGAGGATGGCTAGGATCCCATTTTTTTTTTTGCGAATGACAGCTCATATATGCCATATTCCCTGTGTTTGAGAGACTTCTTTTCGTTCCCACTGAATCAGAGGAAAAGGAGTTTTGCTAAGAAAGACGACAACGTGTACAAAGATGGGTTTTCGCACTTAACGCTCACAAGCTTCAAAATCTTAATTTTGAAGTTAATGTAAAGGATTTAAATTTTTGCAACAAGTTTAAGAATCAGTTCACCATATACAGTTTTTTTTTTTTTTTTTTTAGATCATTAAGGTTTTCCCATGTCAATTTACATTCATCCCAGAACAAGGATGCTCAAAAATTTTTATTTTGACATTTAAAGCACTAGGTGGAAAATTGGAAATTACATTGCGTGAGCGTTCGTATGGACCATTACAATGTTTTGGTTTAATTAAATAGTTGGATTCTTCTCGTCTGTGCTTTGTGTTGGTTGTTCGATCAATGCCCTAGAAATGGCTCCTGAGGGAGCCTCTCCTAGTTTGTCCCCCCGGCCGACACACGATGACACGGGTTTAGGACTGGGACCGTGCCCAACCCTCAAAATCAGTCCTTTACCCAAGGTTACAGATCTGTTTTGTAGGCAAGGAAAATCAATCATCTGTTCAAAAGAGTAGCATAATTAAGCTTTTGAGAAAAATGGTTGTCCCCCTAGTGTTGTTTCTCCAAGGCTATGTTTGGTTATCATGGATCCCGAAGAACAATTTGGGCAAGTTAGTAAAATCAAGTCATGGCTTGGTCTAGGACGGAAAGAATCCGGATCAATAGCACATATAATTGATTATATAAAATATGATTGATTATATATGTGGATTGTATTTTTCAAAAAAACAAATGTAGGAAGAAAACTTTTCTAAATAGAGTAACGACTAACTAATTACTTTGGAAAAAATTGATTATATTCCAATAATCAATTATGTCAAGAAATAAGTGGCTATAAACCAAAAGTAATTGATCAAATAACTTTATAATCAATTACTTTTGCATGAATTTTTGTTCCATGATTAACAAAATCGTGAATCAAATCAATAATTCTGTAAGTTTCAGGATTTATTTTTCAAGAAAAACTCAAACCAAATTGGCCCATAAGGTCACTTGACCCTCTCAATTTGATGATTATAAATTATATTGTAGGTGCACTCTCAAGTTAAAAGTTGAATTTTGAATCTCCCATCCCCAAAGTTATAATATGTTAAAAAAAAGGGTTAATTCAATTTTTAGTCTATTAACTATCACCTTGATTTCATTTTAGTCTAGAAACTATGTTTTATTTCTAAGTGGTCTATTAACTTTC